GGGGAAAGTTCAATTGCCCGTCTTGCATCACCCTAAACAAAAAGACGAAAACATCTCATATGATAAAAATTAACTGGTAGCTTTGGAGCCTACCCTCATGCAGACTCGAAGAACAAACACCGCCGTCCGACGAGCTCATTATTAGGTCGGTACTCAATCTGTCCCACATCAGTGGATGTGTTTTGCTGGCAGCACACTCTCTGGTTGAACTGATTACAGCCATCCTTTCCTGTGTCGCTCTCCCTTTTCAGCCTCTCTCATATGATTTCCATGCATACACAGTGTATCTTTATTACTACCACATCAATGCGTGTACAATTTTCTACGTTTATAAATCCTTTCACATGCAGTCTTCTCTCTTCCATTTCATCCTCTTTTTCGTCATTCAGTCGTAGCACAGTTTCTTTTTACCATATACGTCTGGAAGTCAGAGGACAACAAGACAATCATCGTCTGTCATCGTAATCCAAATGGGTTATGTAAAATTATTTGATATTAAAAATTGGTATCATAGGTCTGATACTTATTTTTGATAAAGCAAAAATAACAACCCCACGTTAGGCCAAAAATGGTCATTCAGTTCTGGCATGCAGACGTAGGAAAGACTGATTGTTTCTCAGCCCTCATTCAAGGCCCTTTAATTTGGATGTGAAAAGGGCAATTTTAGATTCGCTTTCAGCTTCATACAAGCTGTTGTGACTGTGTGTCTGTGTGTCTGTGTGTCTGTGGGTGGGTGGGTAGGTATGTGTGCGAAAAATTCCAGCTCAAACGCTCAATTTGTTTGCCGGTTTTGTACAAAACTATCGCAGAATGGCGTCAACTGTTGTTGGGAGTTTCCGCGGCCCAGGCAATTTAGTGACGAGTCTACCGCGCCCGGCTGGAGCGTGATGTAACTGGTTGAGTAAGAGGGAATGGCTGGTAGAGACGCTGAAAAGTCAAATTTGCCACATACGAGAACCGACATTCATTTTGGAGGGGAGGCTCGCCGCCGGCTCCCCATAGCCGAGGAGATATTCGCTCAAGTCGTGCTTTGATGTGGTACCTCCAGATGGTTCAGTGTCCACTGCTACAATGTTATTTCCTGTCCGCTTGCCTAAGGCCGGTGTTTCGACCAACAGAATGTCGTCTTCGAGGTGTGGACAGGGACTGTGTCTGTTGTCTCGAGGGCCTTTCGACAATCCTCGGCCGGCCGGGACTCGAGTTTTCGTCTTGTGCCGTTTCTTGGTTTCGTGTCGAGGCGACCTTCGCCCCTCCAGAGCCTCGTCCCCGGCCAGACTCTCGTCGAGACCGTTTTGATCGTGCCTCGAGGCCAAACGACTGCCCCAATCGGTGCCCAAAGGCCGACTGGGACTCAGCATCGGCGAGGCGGGACTCACGCCCAGACCGGGCGAGCAGGCGATCAGCAACGAGGAGAGACTGGAGGCGGCCAATGCGTTGACCGATTCGTCGTCAGACGCTTCTGCGAGGCGGCCAGACGTGGAGAGGATGTGCGGACGCGAGTGGCTATGCGCTCGGTGTTGCCGAGACGCCGGGTCTCGAGGCTGCGTCCGATGGGACGGCTTGTGAGGATGACGTCGATCCTTCGCCTTCGCCTTCGCCTTCGCCTCCACCTCGACCTCGGCCAGTTCGGCCCATTTGTCGTCGGATTGTCGTGTCAGTGTTGCATCGCGAGCAGTCGTCCTCTCTTTGGTCAGTTGATCTCGAACTTCCAACTCGACCTTTTGCCCGTCTCGTTCGCGTCG